CACCAAGGAGGTAAAGTGAAGCAGTCACCTCGGGAGGATCTGGGAAGTGAGAGATGGCCCTAATAACATAAGCAGCTTGCCAGTTAGGAAAGACACAGTCCAAGGAAAGTGTCACCCCAGAGCACTTTACAAATAAAATTTACTACAGTTCTACCGAGCAAGTTTTGCATACTCTTCAGAAAAGCTGAGCTTGGGGAGCATGAGACAGAGGGATGGGCAGGCGGCTCACAGGCAGAAAGTGTTTTCCGGATGGAAGTGGAAGGCTCCTGGGGGGGGGGGGAGCATCCTGGGCAGAGGCTCACCCAGTGGGCACCTGGCAGAAGAAAGACACACGACACCTTCATTCCTGGGGCTCTTACCGATGTGGACGGCTGGGCCACCAATGCATTCCTCCAGGCCAGCTCACACTTGGAGAAATACAGCGGGGCTGTATGCAGGAGGGCATTTAGCCCCTCCCAGAGAAATAGGGGTGTGGGCGCTCTGGAACTTTATCCTTCTTTCTGGACATTTCTAGACTGCCTCTCCTTTCATAAATTCTTTTTTAGAGCATGAAGCCTTTTAATTATTTTTTCAGAATCTAACGTTCCTCTCTCTCTTTTAAAGATTTATTTATGTTAGAGAGAACATGAACCGGGAGGGGCAGAGGGAGACTCTCAAGCAGACTCTGTGCGGAGTGGGGAACCAGATGCAGGGCTCAGTCTCACGACCCTGAGATCATGACCTGAGCTGAAACCAAGAGCTAGCCGCACCACCTAGGCACCCTTAACCTTTCTCTTCCCAGGGCCAAAGCCCCCTAAATTGAAGCAGGGATGGTCACAGACATTGTCAAGGGCCTACCGGGTGCTACACAGTGCGCTGGTTCCTTTGAACACGTTTACGTGAATCCTTACAACAACCTTCATTCTTCCCACTGTGTCAGCAGACTGGAAGGCTGAGATGGTTTGCACAGTAAAGTATTTGTGCACTAATTTGTACACGATTTGCACCAGGTCCAGTGCTACGGAGGGGTGGAAGATAGATCCCGACTTAGGTATTTTTGGCTCCAGGTTCGGCATTTTCTTCACCAGCTCACTTGCTTCCCACTGCAGCAGAAGACGCCCCCCATCCTCTCGCTGAGCCACACTGGCTCCCACTATTGCCCCGGGGATCCCCTCCGGGACTTGCCACGGACTTACAGTCTTGGAGAAGAATATCCAGCGGATCATATTTGGGAGTGAGGCACCAAGGGAAGTGATTCTGTTGTCCATCGGGGCTTTCAACCAGAATCACTGAGCATGCAGAGGCAGGCTCTCCTCCCTGGGGTGGAATGTGCTACCTGTCCCTGAACAGAAGAGGAAGGAGACACAGAGTGGCCAGAAGGAGGTGTCGGGCGGTGCATTTGGTGGGAACAGATCACACCTGGAATTCTCCTTCGCTCTCCCACAGCAGCGGGCCAGAGGACTGGGCGCAAAGACACTGCCTTGTGCAGAAAAACACTGCAGCGGGGATGGCCAAGCCCCGGGAACGGTGACAGCTCGGCGACAGCGCTTTTCTCCCACACTGCCTCGTCTGGAGCTTCAGCTGGAGACAACACCAGAGGCGTCTTTCCACAGTAACAATTAGGAGTTCAAGCTCCTTAAAATAATCACCAAAACAAACCGCCCCCCCTCTGTTTTAGACAGGATGGCTTCAGTTCCCATGAGGTCTGCGGGCCAATGGTGATGCTCACCTCATGATGAGCATGAGGTCCGCAAAGATTCCTTCCATGTCCCCCTTTGGTTTTTGGTCAGCGAATGCTGGTGGTGTCTACAAGCCCTGTCCTGTGGGGCATAGAAGCCCAGGATTGCAAAAATGGAGGAGGCCCCCGATATACCTTGCATAAGGAATCATTTGCCTGTTTCAGGGATGAGAAAAATGGCAGCTCTGAGGGAAAACAACCTGTCTGGCAGCCGACCAGAGCCCAGGCTTGTGGCCTTCCCCCACCATCCATAGGTTTTCTGAGGTCACACATTCCCCCGTGGCTCTCTTTCCACGTGGGGGTTTATGATTGGAGTCATAAAACCATCCAGCTATTGTGCAGAAAACCATCCCGTCTCCCACAACTTCCCCCATCAATTTTGTGATTTTTCTAATTAAGTTAAACAATTTGCACATCCCTAAATCTCCCCGTGGGTGCAAGTGTGAGTGATTTCTAACGAGCTGAGAAGACATGGCTGATCCCTCCTCCAGGCCAGGGGAGAAAACTTCTCAGCGACACACTGGTGAGGGAGGCAAGCTTGCAGCCCTCGGAACATAAATTAAATCCAGATATCAGCTCTCTGGCTCCCTTCCTCCTCCCGTTCTCGCCTTCCCTCTGATTCTCTCCTGATCCTGACCCTGTCCCTCCTGGCGAACACAGCTGGTGGAGTATTTTAGCTGTGATGATGTCAGCCTGTTTCTGATAGGCTTCCGGGTAAAGCGACAAATCATTGGCCCTGTCGGGGCCTTGCACTTTGCTTCTCCAGCTCAAAACCCAAGCCACCTTTTTAGCAGGCGACAGCCTTCCCCAGCATGCGGCACCCCCAGGCGGGGCCGCCCCGACAGACCTGCGATCAGGCTGTGACAAATATTCTACCTTCTAATTTGCACCCTGGCTGTCCGCAGAGACTCGTGGTCTGGCTGCTGGAAGGAAATGAGACTTCACGGGGAAGCCGATTACTCTATCATTCAAGCATCCATGGTGCAAAGTACCGAGCAGGGAAACACAGGGAGCTGCTTGCTCTCCAGAATGCTGGGTCCATCTGCAACCTTGAGAGGCCTGGGAAGCTCACATCCACTCGGATGCTGGGGTCTTGGAGATGTTGTCTGCAGCCGGAGCTGTTCTCGATTCTCAGGGTGAAAAGAAGTGCGGGTAAGGAACCAGCAGCTCTCCGAAATAACACCTCTTCCCGTGCCTGCCCCCGGTTCACAGTAACGCTTGAAGGGCTGAAGGTGCCATGAAAAAATACACTTTCATTCTTTTTTATTTTCCATGCTTCACCTGGAGTCTGTTAGAAGACAACTTTCCTAAAGACAACTTGTTTTCCTTCTACCCGTGCCCACCTCCAATGCGTGCAGGCAGGTGGGAGCGAGCCGCACCTACGGACGGGCAGGGAGTTCGAAATAAAGATGTCACTTTAAAAAAAAAAATCCTGATTTTTGCTATTTTTTTTTTTAATCTGAACTTTGAGAAATCTCTCTTGGATCTTACCGAAGACTGTAAGCCTACGGTGACATTGCACCAGAAAAAAAGACATCTTTGGAGGCTAAAAGTTTTTGGCAGTGTAAGCCCTCTGACATTGTGTCAGACCCCACATCTGGTCATTCACAAGCCCTTCTGGAAAACGCTGGAAAATCCCCCCTCCCCTGCAACTTGATCTCTAAAAATACACTTAGAACAGTTCAAACCGTTTACTAGTTTTTCTTTTATTTTGTTTTCCCAAACATCACCTATGCCCTGACTGTTCTCAACTCAGAGTTGAAGGAGGCACCGTCACTTTGGGGTTTTTTTCAAAGTCCTCCATGGAGGGGCGCCCGGATGGCTCAGTCGTTAAGCGTCTGCCTTCGGCTCGGGTCATGATCCCAGGGTCCTGGGATCGAGCCCCGCATCGGGCTCCCTGCTCCGCGGGAAGCCTGCTTCTCCCTCTCCCACTCCCCCTGCTTGTGTTCCCTCTCTCGCTGTGTCTCTCTCTGTCAAATAAATAAAATCTTAAAAAAAAAAAAAAAAAAAAGTCCTCCATGGAAACATTGCCAGGAGGGCAGGGTTCAGGGGCTAGACAGCAGGGAAGCCCTGAGCCTGGGAGCCAAACCTGTTTGTCTCCAAGCCACCTGGACAGGGAAAGTGCTGTTTTCTATAAAGGGGCTGTGGAATAGAAGCGTTCAATGATTTAAGACACTGTAAAAGAGAAGACTGAGCAAGACCGCAGAAATTCATAGAGTTAATAATACTTCCAGGCTTTAACACACCTGACCTTGACTGAATCTTACCCCTCGGGGTTCCTACTTATTACATGCACAGGAGATCACCTTGGGATTCCGAGACAATGTTAACCATGCCTTTGATTTTCGACATTCTGAGGCTTTTGACATCTTGGAGACTGGAGGGACCGCCCCTCCCGGGGTTAGCTTCGTATGCACACCAAACACCCACACTCCCAACCCACCTCCTCCACTGGGCTCTCACATCTATCTGCCCTCATCACACCAGGCCCAGGCACCAGACACCCAGGGATAGTCCCTATGCCCTAGAGCCCCCTGAAATTATTCACGCCAGCCAATCCTCCGTCTGCTTACCCCATGTTGCTCATTCTTTCCCATGGAAACTACCATGCAGGCTCTTGGCCATGTTCCCTCCTGGCCCCCCCCACCCCGCCCCCGGCCTCCTCACTGACCCTGGTGCTCCCGCGGGTGGCCCTGCATGGCACGCCCTGTCTTTTTGGGATCTGAGTAGAACAAGCTACCTTTTCAAAGGCAGCCCGTGTCCTCATCTGTTGGCCTCACCACACCTAAATGATAATAGCACCTACATTTTTAAAACACAGATGCTGGAATGGGATGTGGCCATCTAATGTCCCCGCCCTGACCAGCACTGTCTTTTTCCTGACAGGGACAAAGAGCACAATGACCCCAAGAAGGGCCTTGAGCCCTGCAGTGTTTCTCAAGCAGGGTTCCTCATTTAAACCAAAGAACTAAAAAAAAAAAATCTTGAGTGGTGATTTTCGGAATCCTACAGAGGATGGTCCCTTAGCAGCCCCCGTCTACAGGAGCATGGAAGTGAATTCATTACAAACAGCGGATGCCTTGGGGCATTGGGGCTCATCTCTCTCACGGAACCTGGTCAGGAAAGAGGACAGGTCTACAGTCTGGGTATACATGAAAACCCTGAATTCTGCCCACAGCACATTCGGGTCTGCCTCTTGGAAGACACTCATCTTGCCAGGAGAACGATGATGGGGGCGTGGTGGGTGCCCCTACCTGTGCCAGTGAGGGCGGGTGAACATTACCTGTGCTCGGTGCTCCCCAACCGCAAACTGGATCACGGCCACGCCGGGGTGGTGGCTGTCCTCGATCCTCTCCACCGTGCTGGAGTCAATCTTCAGGTCACTGCTGATCTCTGCACTCTGAATGAAGTCTTCCGTCTTTAGGTCCTCCACCTTCTTCAGCTCCCCATTGGCCAACTGGATGATGGAGCCTTTCATGAAGTAAGGGGGCAGCGTGGGCGGCGCGGAGGCAGGGGACGCCACCGACTGCACCACAGGCAGGTGGATCTGGGCCTGCACCATAGCGGGGTAGGCGGCCTGCGTGACCAGGGCCTCGGGGCTGAAGTTCTCGCTCTTGGGAAGGGCGGTGGTGACGAAGGTGTGAGGCATGGCCGCGAACTGGGGCGACGAGGTGGCTATCGTGGGGGCTGCTCCCGACCCCTCCACATCGGCGCTGCCCACCGGGATGAGCAGGGGCTGCGTGCCGGGGATCACCAGGTGCTGGGGCAGGCTGCCGGCGTAAGTGATCGCTTGTTGCTGGCTACTCAGGTAGCCGATGACCGGCGCCTGCGTCCCCGCATAGAAGGCGGTGGCTGGCAGTCCCACCGGGAGAGGCTCCGAGGCGCTGTGTGGGGTCTGGATGACCGTGTGGGGGGACAGCGTGGCGACGGTAGCGGCCTTCACGCCTTCGGGGCCCAGAGCCTGTTGGGGTGACAGCGCGTAGGACCGGTGCCCGGGCTTCCCTAGGTGCAGGCTGCTTTTGTCGTTGAGGGTGGAGGGGGAGGCCTCCCGGTGCGTGACCTGCTGCACCTCCAGGTCCGCGGCGGGGGTGTTGCTGGTGGGCAGGACCATCACAGAGGCCCGGACCCCCGAGGAGTCCCGGCCGCCGTAGTCGGCGGCGCTGGGGTGGACCACCACGTGCCTGGACTCGTACGGGTGAGGAAGGGACTTGCTGGCCTTCACCAAGCCTAGGTCGGCCGAGCTCGGGGGGGCCCCATACCTCCGGCCCTTCTCCACCTCCCCGTTCAGGAGCTCCTTGGCCTGCATGGCCTGCTGCAGCCTGCCACTCTCGGCTTTCTTGGCGGCCTCGCGCGGCACAAAGTGGCTGCCGGAGTCGGTGTATTGCACTACGACCTGGGGGGAGGGCCCCAGCGTGAGCGTGTGTGGGATCATCGTCTGGTGCGGGTGGAGGTGGACGGGGATGGCCGGAGGAGAGGCCGTGCGCCCGGCGCTCTGCGGAGAGCTGGAGATGTGGACGTACTGGTTCTGCTGCGCGGGTGGGGGGGACCCCGGCGTGATGAGCCCCGGCGTCCTACCCAGGTGCTGTGGCTGCTGCTCAGCCTTGTGTCCTGAGGCTTGGCTCAGACTGCCCATGTTGGCCAGCAGAGTGGAATAGGCCTCCAGCTGGGAGCGCTGGGATGGAGTGGTGGCCCCCGCGGCAGAGGCCACGGCACTGGTGACGGGGCTGGCCGTCGGGGAGATCAGCTGTGAAGGGATGAACCCGGCGTAGGGCCCGCTGTACTGGGAGGACCCGATGAACTGGAAGGTGTGTGGCAGGTGAGCGTACTGCACGGGGGACACTGGCGTCCCCGACTGCGGGGGAGGGTACGCCGCGGGCAGCGTGCTGGTCGCCGGGACGGACCTGGGCGCGCTGGGCGGGGAGTAGTCCAGCCCCGTGGACAGCGCTTTGTGTAAACCTATTCCCTGTTGTAAACCGAGCTCCCCCGAAGTCCCCGCCGGGCCGTGCCTGCCGCCCCCGTGGGCGCGGCCCCCGGGGTTGCCCGGGAGCCATGCCCCAGCCTCCGCCCGGTGGTTGTTGCTCGGCGGCCCGGCGGCCTTCTCTTCAGAAGGCCGGCTGGTGGCGGGGATCTCGCGCTTCTTGGGAGGCAGGCATTCGTTGCTCCGCTCTTGGTTGGATTTCATTTTTCGCCGTCCCCCCTCCACGGTGACTGTTTCACTGTCTGGCTGGCTCTGGGTTTAGTCTGATACATGGAAAGTCACATTTGATTTCTGTAGGGGATCCAGGCTCTTCATGAGGAATCATCTCCTCGTGGGTTCGATCCACCGGCCGCAGCTCTGGAAGCTGGGAAAAAGGAAGAGGGCGGGGGACAAGGGGAAGAGCGAGGGAGGAAGAAGGGCAGGAGGAAAAGGAAATCAAGATATCAGACTGAGACTAGCCTCTGGCTTCACCGTGAATTCCCAAAACCTGATGAGGGCCCGTGTGAAAGCGCATAAAACACTGGCCGTGCTGGACAGCAGGTCAGAAAGATGAGGAACATACTGGGCGAGTCAAAATCTTAAAGCAGATGACTTCTTTTAATTTTTTAATTTTTTTTTTAAAGTAGGCTCCATGCGCGGCGTGGAGCCCAACACCGGGTTTGAAGTCATGACCCTGAGATGAAGACCTGAGCTCAGATCAAGAGTCAGATGCTGAACTGACCCAGCCAGCCAGGCGCCCCACAGCAGATGTCTTTTTATGGCATTAACAACTCCCCTAAGACCGTCTGCATCTCCTAAGATCGGTTTCTCAATACTCTCTCTCCTTTATTTCTTTTCTTCTTAGAGGGTAGATGGTTTATTTCTCAAATTTCCTTTTCAGAAACGCCGGTCCCTTCCTCACCTCTTCGTTCCCTTGCTGGAAAATCAAATGAAGCCCACAGGGAGGGTGACACTGGGGAGAATCAGCCTCAGATGCAGGTGCTGGGAAGGAGCAGGTGAGGAGTAGGGGTCCCGAGCGGTCTTCGGGCATAAGGTCTGAAGCCTCGTCTACTGGAGCTGCTACTCAAAGTTTCTGCCTGACTCTGGGTTCATACTTGATCCACAACCATTCCCTCTTCCCTAACACACACACACACACACACACACACACACACACACAGTACACATGCCAACTCAGCAGAGGCAGCCAAAAATAATCTTGTGCTCTACAAGTTTCCAAAGAATTCCCAGTACAGCTACTCATATGGTAACAGAAAGCCAAAAGAAATCTGTGAGACAGTTAAAAACTGAATATGGTTATGCTTAAAAACAAGAATAAGAATGCGCTAATAGGGTGGATGCACTGAAGATTTTTTCACATGCTCCCTTCATTCCTTTCTTTCTTTCTTTCCAGGTAGTCTCTGAGTTTTCTCTTCACACCGCCCCCCTCCCTTTCTCCTTGGAAAGGGCCAACCCACCATTAACCCTAGAGATGCAAACTCTTTCAGATCAATCAGACCCGTGTGCTTAGCCCTGGATCTATAAATAGTGGGCTGGGAGCCAAGTGTTATGGGCACACAGCTCAGTCTCTCAGTGACCAGTGAGCCCCAAGTCACCATGACTGTGTGTGCACATGGATGCCCACTGGCAAAAGACCGAACATCAATGGCACCAACAGGAACTCACACAAGCAGCAGGTGTGAGTGCCCCCTCCAAGCAGCAGCTTCAGACAGGAGCAGTGCTATGTGCTGGGATCCTGGGAAGCTGCAGCATGGGCCTTGGGCTTTGGGAATTCCAGGCCCCAGGGGGTTTTGGCATCTCTACTACCCAGACCCTCTTTTTTTACAATCCGACTTTAAAGCAAACACAACAAGGCAGCTGCCTTCAGCACCCAATCCTGGCCAATGCCCAAGCAGTGGCGACATCCCTACTGTAGCACGGCCTCTTTCCTCTCCTCTGCCTGCACCAGCTTCTCCCCCATCTCTGTCATCTGTGTAGCTACACTCCCCCACCCTAATCTGTAACTTTTGTTTTGGTCCATGATTTAGTGGTCCTTGTTGCTCTTGCTTCAGCATCATCACGGAACAGCAACACAAAAGGGCAGATGACACAAAAGGAAGTCCCCATCCTTAATGGCTGTGATCCAGGTATATATGAGGTAGAAGTATATAGATTCGGTGTCTCAATATCAAAGGTCATTTCAATAACAACAGGATTTGTCACGTGACAAGAGAGGCACTTTAAAGACCGGGATGGAGGGGCACCTGGGTGGCTCAGTCAGTTAAGTGTCTGCCTTCAGCTTAGGTCACGGTCTCAGGGTCCTGGGATCGAGTCCTGCATCGGGCTCCTTGCTCAGCATGAAGTCTGCTTCTCCCTCTCCCTCTGCCTCCTCCCCACCACCTGTGCTCTCTCTCTCTCTCTCCATCTCTGTCTCAAATAAGTAAGTAAAATCTTAAAAAAAAAAAAAAAAGACTGGCATGGAAACGAGGACGTTAATGCTGGAGAAATATCGGTGCTGAAGGAGTAATGCCAATGATTTGCCCTCCTGACCTAGGGTTTACAGAAGTCCAAAGCAACTGTGTTCTGTGTAGCCTTCTTTTATAAATAGTGCAGCACATAATTTACACACAGTATTTGCAAATCCATCAGGATGACAGTGCTATTTCTCTCTCTCTCTTTTTTTTTTTTGTATAGTGGAAAGTACTATTTTTTAAAAGACTTATTTATTTTAGAGAGAGAGGGAGCTCACGCGGGCATGAGCGGGGTGAGGGGCAGAGGAGAGCGAGAGAGAGAATCCTCAAGCAGACTCCCCACTGAGCGAGGAGCCTGCGCGGGGGCTCGATCTCACCACCCTGAGATCCTGACCTGAGCCGAAATCAAGAGTTGGAGGCTTAACCAACTGAGCCACCCAGGCGCCACAGTGCTATTTTCAAAACAATGACAGAACAAAATTAAACTACAAAATTATAAAAAAATCAGTGGCCCCTTCTGGCTGCTTAAAAAGTATTGACAATGATCTTTTGTCTTTAGATTTCAAGAGTCACTTAAGAAACAATTGTATAAGCTCCCACATTCCCAGGCCAACTAGCAAAGGAAAGTCATTTAGGACTTCTGCTCAAAGCAAAGTGTTCCCTGCGCCCCCTGCTGGTTCCACAGCAGCACTGCTCCAATAAAACCCCACAGGATTTCATTAGGGATGTTCATGCAAGAGTGATATGTCAGAATCCAAAATGAGAATATTTGCATATAGTAGGCCCAGCCAGTAAGGGAATAGGTTAATTAGCCCAAGGCAGCTCGAGGGAAGAAAAAGCAGCAGCATAAAAGTCCTTTCAAAGCCAAGCAAAATGTCAAACACATTCAGAAGAGGGCCATTAGCAATGCAAATGTAAAATTGCTTGTACAACCAAATGCACAATATACAAAACTAGAAAACCCTTCTGAAGGTACTTTTTAAAGAACCCAGCTTTAGCAAATCCGAAAAGGAATGCTGACTTGGTTCTCAGTAGTGCCTTAGTTTATAGTGTTCATTTGAGAGACGCTGGCTTAGCTGGTCCTCAAGGTCTCTGTAGAGACTCCAGGGCGGGTCTTCTGCTAATGGACCACTAAGACATACTGGCCTTAATGCACAGATTCAAATTTATTCTTCTGAAAAGCATTCCGTTGATGAACGTCTTTTCCAGATAATACTAATGATAAATCCAGGATCCAGAGATTAACATGGGAGCTGGAAAACCTAGGGCCAGACTGATAAAAATTTTAATCTATCTTCCTGCTACATTTAGCAGGACCATGTCTCCTATTTACCAGTGCAGCTTGGAGGAGAGAGGGGCTTTCTAATTCTGGGGCATGCGTCCCTTCTCTGTGTTCACCAGCTCTGTACTATCTGAATCTCCCATCAGGGATAAGCACTGAGGGGAGGGATTGAGTCGCTGTATTTTCAGAGAACCACCAGAGGGCGCCACAGTTTGCCACCACGTCCCTTGAAGGCTGTTCGATTATTCATGGCATTGAAAGAATGGAGAGGTATACTTTGAAGGTTTAAGAGCACTGAAGGGAAAAAAGGAAGGGAGAGAGAAATAGATACAAAAAAAAAAAAAAGAGAGAAGAAAAAAGGAGAGTAGGATTTTTGCTTTTAGGGTCTCTTTCTAGCTGCAAATGGCCTTAGTGTCCCTAATAACCTTCTTGGGGCTGAAACACACTAGTGGTTCACCTGGGCCCCTGGGGAGCTCACTTCTGGATGAACAACAGAAAGAGTTCTTCCAAACATGGGGCCACACACTATTTTATAAATGCTAAGTTACCAGAGAACCACACGCGCAGATCCCATTGTACAAACGTTATTATTAAGAAAGATACTGGATGAGTCAACGCAAACTTAGGTATGGTTTGCCTGAGAACCTCTGTTCTGAATGCACTCACCTTAAGTGCATTCTTTATGTCTACATTTCTCTCTCCCTCAGTATTTTATAATTTAGCTCAGTGGCCTAAGGCCTTGCTCTCCAAAGTTCTGTCCTCGGACCAGCAACGCCAGTCACCAACCCCCTCCCCCACCCCCAGCAGCTCTAGAAATGCAGGATCTCAGGCCCCACCCAGCCCTCCTGATTTAGAATCTGCATTTTAACAAGGTCTCCAGATGATTCATATGCACAGAAAGGTTTCAGAACCTCAGGTACGAGATTAAATCTTCTAATCATCAGCTCCTAAACGAATTAAACGTCCCTAGCCTCTCTTTCTGATGGAGTAGTTTCTGAGAAATAAAACTGGGTGCTGTATATGCAAACACAGAGTGGATGGAGGCTCGGAGATAAGCAGCTAATATTTAGGGAATATTCAGGGGTTTATTTTGGGGTCACTTAGGCTCAATATAGTTCTAAGTAACGAATACTCCTTTTCTTCTGGTTCTTTGTGTCTCCAAAAAATATAGGGAAACACACTTTAAAAAAAGCTGTTATCAATTTTATACATGACTCAGTCATCTCCATGAAGAAAAACAAAACTTAACAAAAGAAGCCCCACACACTTCCATCTCTGCTTTAATTCAAAAAAATTTCCCCCATTACCATGGATTTACGCTCTTTCAGAAATGATAGGAAAACGAGATGCCTCTGAGCCTGCAGATGTGAGAATGGGTCCCCCCTGACTCTGAGTCTTGTAAATAACAACCAACTGCTTTGAGTGGGAGTCACTCCTTAGAACTTGATACATACAGTCCTAAAAATGCACCCCAAGGTCATGGCAGTAAACGGGGTTGCTCTGCCTAGCACGGCCCATGGTGTGAGTTTCTCAGTTTGAGTAGATCCCACAGAAGCACGGTTTCAGTGTTAAAGAGGGAGAGATGCAGATTGCTGAGCTTGGGTCAGTTCTGGAAAAACTGTATGAGCATTT